TTTTCAAACTCATCTGTTAGGATGACTGACACCACCTCCCTCATTTTTTTCTTCATCTCTTCTATGACATCAAATTGCTGTCCTTCCATGTTCATTTTCAGAAACAAAAGGAAGTTGCACAGAGTGAGGTCAGGTGACTAAGTGCATGGGCACAAGAGAAGCATGCTGTTTTTTGGCAAAAACTGGCACACTGAGATGGCTGTGAGCAGGTGCATTGTCATGGTGGCAAAACCAGTCCTCTGTCTGCCACAAATGAGGCTTTTTTTGTCAGTTACATTATCTTTACAGAATCTCTAAATAGAAAGCGTGCTTAACAGTCTGACCTGGTGGAGCAAACTCCAAATGCACTATGCCCCTTACAAAAAAAACCACTAGTATGGGTTTTTTTTTGGCGGGGGTATCCCCTTGTAAAGGAAAACTGCTCAGAATAAATCTTTCATTTCTCTCTGAGTTTTGATCTTTTAACACTGTCAAGAAAGTTTGTTGCTTAGATAGTCAAAAACTATATAGATTTTCTTGGCCTTGCCCCTTAGCTATCCATCCCTACACTCTCAGGTCCTAACTGTCCTTTCCAAACCTTGAGGGTTACGGGTAGGATAAGAACCACTGCCCCCAGAATACTGATTTATATCTACTGCAGATAGGCATTAGGTATAAGTATTGTGAAACTGTACTTCTCTTTGCCTTGTTACCTTACTACCATTCTTCTGCAAGGAGCTCAAGTACCCCTCCTACTCTCTCTAAAGGAAACCTCTTAGGGCAGTGGTTCTCAACCTTCCTAATGCCGCCACCCTTTAGTATAGTTCCTCATGTGGTGGTCACCCCCCACCCCAGCTGTAAAATGATTTTTGTTGCTATTTCATAACTGTAATTTTGCTACTGTTATGAATCGGACGACCCCTGTGAAAGGGTCGTTTGACCCCCAAAGGGGTTGCGACCCACAGGTTGAGAACCACTGTCTTAAGAGGAACAAATGCTCCTTTCAGGGACCAATTAAGTAAGTGCCAAAGTTCTACAAGGAGAGAATTGTACTCCAACACGTAGCACTCAAATTGTAGGTAGTGGATGAGCCAGGACTCCTCCAGACTTCCAGACAGCCCTGGGGGTAAAGACGATGGTACAACAGCAGCCTGACTTGAGGAGGGGTGTAGGGTGTCTTCAAATCCTGACTCTGGCTTGGAAAAGTCTGTATCCTCCCTATGTCTGTTTCTTCATCCCTCAAAATAAGGATAATAGTGTTTATCTCATGGTTGTATGATTAAATAGGTTAACACATATGAAACATCATTTAGGAGAGTAACTAACATAAAGCAGGAGCTTAATAAATGTTGGCAGCAGTTTGCTCTTGTCCAAGGTATGCTGCTCCTAATGAAAGTCCAAGGTAAACCCCTGACTCAAACAATACAGCGAGAAAGCTCCTTAGAAACAGGATGGTGAGATGCTGCCTCACATACTTTAGACATGTTACTGGGAGACCGGAAAAGGAAACGATGCTTGGTAAAATGATGATCAGCAAAGAGAGGAGATGGATTGACAGTGGCTGAAACAATGAATTGTGAGGATGGCTGAAGACCACCACGTAGTGTTTTGTTCTTCTCTTGTTCATAGGGTTGCTATAAATTGGCTTCCATAGGCAGTCTGTGGACAAGTATGCCTGGGTGTCCTAACCAGAAAAACAAAAACAAGAACAAGCTAACAACCCACCCACACCAATTGCCCCAGAGTCCATTCCTATTTATAACCAATAGCAGACTCACAGCCATTGAGTGATGCCAATTCATAGCAGCCCTATAGGACAGGGCGGAACTGCCCCTCTTTGAGTTTCTGAAACTGTAGCTCTTTACGGGAGTAGAAAGCTCAGTCTTTCTCTTGAGTGGCTAGTGGTTTCAAACAGATTTTTCCAATAGCAACCCAATGCATAACCACGACACCAGCAGGGCTCCTATTCACAGAGACCCCTAAACCTTTGCCGTCAAGTCTGAATTGAGGCACAATGTCTTTACAGGACACAAAGGACTGCCACATAGTTTCCAAGGTAGTCATCCTTATGAATGTAGATGGGTCACATCTTTCTCCCACAGCTGCTGGTGTTTCTGAACTCCAATCTTCTGGTTGGCAGCCAAGCACTTCCACTACTGTGCCACCCATGCTCTTCAGGCAATCCCTTAAACACAAAACCAAATCTGATTCCAACTCATGGCGACCCTATAAGAGAATGGATCTGGCCCCTTCTGATTTCTGAGACCTTAAGTCTTTATGGGAAACAGCCTCATCTTTCTCCTAGATTAACTGATGAGTTTGAACTACTGACCTCTTGGTTAGTAGCTCAATGTATAATCCACTATGCCACCAGGGTCCTTGACATCCTAGGCAACCCTCCTAGGCTACCCTCAAATTGGAGAAGCAGCATTATGTGATTTAAGCCTAAATGGCAACAGAGAACAAAGACACACAGTAGGGAAGCACTGACTACCTTGTAGTGGTACTATCGCAATCACTGCATCTACCATCTTCAAAGAATCCGATATTGTTCTGTCAGGTGTTCTACCAGGTTTGTAGTATTTGATACCTAACAGCAACTATAGAATAATAGTAGCATCACTAGTGGCGTCTCATATTTGACCAAAAAGGGCCATTCGATACCAGAGGTATTTTTCTGTAAGTTCTATTAGAAGGAACTAGTCCCTGCATCTGGTCCCCATTTGGAAGACTTAGAGCCCTTTGTAGGGACCAGCTCATGATAATACCCACATACTAAGTCTGAGGTAAACAGTTAACAAGGAAACAATGTTCAAGGGATACAATATCCGTATCACCATTTTCTTCCAGTAGGCAGACTTACACCAAGAAAACAAAGTTCACTACACATCAAAATAATACAATGGCAATAAACTCAGACAGACTGAAGAATCAATTCCCAAATGAATTAATGGGATGAGCTGGCTCTAATTTTTCTTCTGCGAGCCATGCTTACATTGCATCATCTCTGCTCTGGTCCTCTAATAACAGACCTAACACTTGAATTCATACAACAACCTGATTTCCACACTATCAAGTGAGGAGAGGTCGGTAGGAAACTCACTGTACCAATATCCTACCGTACAGAGTTATCATACAGGCTAACATGAGGAAATGTTTGCTCCCTGAAGGCAAACTTACTTCAGAAAACACACTAGCACCAGAGTGGCTTGGTGGGCCACTGAAAGAGCAGTAAGAACTGGGTAGGGGGTGCCAGCACCACCACTGTCTTGTCTGCAATTTACAACTGCCTGCCCTTGCCTCCAGCTGGAAACACTGACAGCTTCTCTTCCTACTGTGGGCACACAGACGCTTCCTTTTCATTGGCGTATTTTCAGCCTCATTTTGAGCTAGACCGTATCACATGCTGCCACATTCCAGGTTTGAGTTCATCTCCATCTCTTATTTCATTCCTGAGAAAAATTTTTAAGTTGCCGAGTCGACTTGGACTCCTAGTGATCCTGCACAAATCTAAGAACTGTGCTCCACAGGGTTTCAATGGCGGCTTTGTCAGAAGTACATGACCAGGCTGTTCTACTGAGGTGCCTCTGGGTGGACTCAAATGTTAATCATTTGTGTCACACAGGAACACCTTAGGAACAATCTGAATGGCAATTGGGAGTGCCTATTCCATAAACCACTTATTGCCTAGAGCAGGGAGGGGTGTCAAACAATTAAAATGCGGGCCATTTGGTGCAACAGGCAAGATTCACGGGCGCCACATCACATTTACAAATTTTGTTAAGTTTATATTTTGAAGTGAGGATTCAGGAATATGGATAGGATAATTAAAACACTATATAATTGCTTTTATTTAAACATTTATTTTATTTAATATATTTATAAAACTAAAATTATTTTTTACTCAAAACTTGCCAGCGCTTTCCTACTACTAGTTTTCACTTACCTCTTATGTTGTGACCAGAAAATATAACAAAGTAACTAATAAAAAACACAAAATGTTGGACAGCTGACAAACGTGATGCACAATCGTAATGGCTTCCGTCTAAAAATGTTAACTAGCACTGCTGCTAGGTATGATTCATAACAGCACAACCCAGAGTGCTCTTTTGAACCTTTTCGCTATTGGGATGTTTACATGACGTGACACTGAGAGTGGCAGACGCATCACTTTCAAACGTTGCCGGAACCGAGTCAGTGCATTTATACATGTCCACAGCCCCCCAGGAAAGGCACTGGGCCACGTGTATGCTCATCTTTAGTAGGTAAAGGGTTAACAAAGGAATTGTGTGTACAGTATTGCCTCAATCTCCCCCAAATGCTATTTTCTTCATAACAATTTTTTCTATTTTCATTTTATTTCTGAGCATTGCGGGCCACAAAAAATGACCTCGGGGGCCGCATGTGGCCCGTAGGCTGCCAGTTTGACACCCCTGGCCTAGAGCATGGAATAGGCATTCTTCCTGACCCTACAGTGAAGAACCAGAGTTTGGGAACATAAGCAGGAGATGCCCTGTCCTCCCCATACACCCCCTTCTATAATGTTACAAGTCCTAATGGAAAATCACTGAATATTTAGCCTGGGGGCATAAAGGATAAGTCTCTGCCAATTTTTATTTTGGTGATGACATCCTGATGCAGTCCTTGGGCAGCTTTCTCTCGTTAGTTTCCTAGCAGTTCCTCCGAGTTACTGCCCAAGCACTTGCCTGCTGTAAGGAGCTATCCAGGAAAGGACGGTCGAAAAGTGAAAGCAATGAGGCAAACAAAGCTTATGGAACACGGCCCTTGCTAAACTTCATGTCTCCTAAGAGTGCCTTAAGAGTACTTCTCCCACACGCAGTCACCAGCCTGGTTAGTCTCAAAACTCGCACTATGCTCGTCTACTCCCTGAAGCTCCTCAGTGCGCCAGAACTCTACCTTTCTTTCCTGTTCTCTTTGTATTACTATCATTGACACACATCTTTTTTGGGGGGTGGGGTGGGGGGTTCTTCTCTCCCCCAAATTATCTATGGAGTAAAAAGTTTAGAGGAGGCTAAAAAACATTTTATTACCAGCTTAGAAATTAAGACCATAAAATGAAAAGAGCAACAGGAATACTAAAGCAGAAGCTTTTTATACATGTTACCCAAACTACCAAACTACTGAACCCTTTCTGGCATGGGTAAATAAATGTGGCGTATATACACAACAATTTACTATACGCATTGAAGAGTAATGATGCTGTTATTCATGACAGTGAAAATTTGAAGGACATTATACTGAATATCATTAATTAGTCAATCATAAAAGGAAAAATATATGAGCCCACAATTATAAAAAAATCAAGAAAAGATTTCTACCAAAAAGCGACAGACTTTGATGGTTACCAAGGATGGAGAGGGAAGTCAGGCTAGAGGATAGACATGTTCATTTTGGTGAAGAGGAAGATAATAATAATAAGAGGAAGATTAAAAAAAATTATGGAAACTGGGGAGGTCATTTGGAAGTTTGCTAAGTTGTTGAATACAAACAGAATGTTCTCTAAGCCTTTTCCTAATTTGAAAAAAGAAAAAAAGTTACCATATATACTCGTGTATAAGCAGTGTTTCTCAGCACATTTTTAATGCAGTTTTTGTGATAAAATTAGGTGCACCGGTTGATATTTGGGGTGGCTGATACTCGAGTATATACAGTAAATAGTAATAAAAAACATTTTGGGGCACCTCCCCTACAAAATGAATCTGGATATATAATAATGATTAACCTCCTAGATCCTAAACATCATTATCAAACCTTTCTTAAGGACCATCAACATAGTCAGATAAACTATTATTTATTTGCACAAATGACACATTCAGGCAAACTATCACAAAGCCAAAGACTTACAGTCAATATTGTAAACTGGTGATAGTTTGGATATTGAAAGATTACAGAAAAACAATTAGGAAACTCATTCTTTTGCTAAAAAATTTGCTCCTCTACTACCATCAAGAATTAACATCTATAACATAAGAGACTGTGTTTCTTAAGGACTCTAGATAACTATAGAAAGTAACGTTCTTAAAAATTTTAAATAATCATTTTAGAAGAATACGCAGTAATTGCAGAGGGCATATTGCTTTGTGTATTAACTTTTCCAATATATCAAAAAACTAGCAGCTTCTTCAAATTGCAATGTAATGTAAGGGCTCCTATTTTCCCAGGTTTATGTCAGTACCATTACTATGGAAGAATAGTCAAGCAAGAAATTGAGGGTGATCATGATGTTCAGTCTGAAATGGCAAGTAAAAGTTTTCATGATGATTAGAAACTAGGCCTAACTGTACAAAGTACTGATGTTTAGCACACAGCATCTGTAATCGTTCTAATAGCAGTGAGTATCTATCTGAGGTCCATCTATCTGCTTCCTTTGTGGTCATGCACTTATATAAAAATTCTCAAGTTTTTAAGTGGAACTGTAGTGACAGTTGAGAAAAAAATGTGCAATGGATTTACCTAGGAGAAATTTTCATTAAGTCTTGAGAAAAGTAACTATATTGTTTTTTCAATTAAGTAAAACAAACTGGTCTAATTATATTTAGTAAAAAGAAGCATTAATTGTTATCGTTTAAGAGAAAGCACCAAAACTCAAAAAGAGCTCTAGGCTTCCAACTAAAATGTCCTAGCTACTTTTGGAATTACACTACGTCAGCAAATAAAAGTAATCACTGTTTATACGGAAATTAATTAAGTGGCTAAAATTCTAGCAAAATAACTTGCCTAGAATTTTGACTGTCTCAAACTGAGTTTTAAACTTCTAACTTCAGTAATACATACTGAATATCCAACAGTATAGAACACAACCCATTTCATCTGTAAAACACTGTATAATAAGATCACACAGAGCAGCCCGCACACACATCTTTGTTTGCCCCTTACCAACTCTGGAAACATGGCACATTTACTACGAACGCCAACATGGGCAGAACAATTCAAAGAGTGCAGCTGCTTTAACAAGTTAGAGTAGGATTTTTACAATAGCGGCAAATGGAATTCTCAGAACAGATTCCGAGACACAGATTATTTAAGCAAAAGTTCCAACCCACAAAAAAGGTTCACCTATCAGAGGCAGTAACTAATGAACACACATTGGAGATTCTGGCAGCATCCTGCATATTTAGAATAATTAAAATACATAAACAGAAAGTTGTTCAATCTCTAAGATGAAATACAGATGTTGTGCTGTCATTACACGTGCTCACTACTGCTTCTCAAATGCGAATACCAAGTAAATACCTACAAGAGAAAACAAATCAAAGTTAAGAGTTTAGTTTCTCATATTCCCATGGTCAATAAAATAATCACCTGTCATTTCTACATAATTTGTTAGAAATTCTTAGGTTCTTAATCAGCCCCAGTGAAGAGGAAAATGAGCCTTTAATCCTAAAAGTTCTTAAGATATTCAATCATATTTAAGTAAATATGGGATTATGTATTTATTTTGAAACAAATAATCACCTACTAAAATATTCAGTTATGTAGCACCCATAATAAAACCAGTTTAACAGCTTGAAGAAGGAAAAATCAAAAGTATGAAAGTAAATAAAATCAAAACTAGAACAATTTTATCATTCATCTTTCTACCTGGAGTAAAGTAAATTGGAAGAATAGGTGTACTATATTACCGACTACTAGAAGCGGCAGTGTACTTGGTATGCACCAATTCCCTAAGGCACTTTTTTTTTCTTAAATCATTTTAATGGGGGCTCATACAGCTCTTTTTCCCTCCCTGCCTCGTGACCCCTTGAGAAGTAATTATTATTGTTTTCATATCTTGCACCGACTGTTGTCTCTTTTCACCCACATTTCTGTTGTTCATCCCCCTGGATGGTGGGGTGGGGTGTTATGAGTCAATCACTGCAATAAGTTCCCCCTTCCTCCCCTTCTCTCTTCACCTTCCCCCTACCCTCCAAGTACGGCTACTTCCATTACTGTTCCTGAGGGGTTATTTGACATGGATTCCAAGTGTCATGAAATCTTATCTGTGTCAGTGTACATTCTCCAGTCTAGCCAGAACTGAGAGGCAGGACTGGGGTCATGATAGTGGGAGTAAGCAAGCTTCAAAGAACCAGAGGAATTCTGTGTGTTTCATTGGTGCCCTGGTTGACTCATCCCTTCCTTGTGACCCTTTTGTGAGAGGATGTCCTATTGCCTAGAGATGAGTTTGGGGTCTTTGTTCCAACACCCCTTGTTCTCAATATGTTTGCTTGTTAGATTTGGGTCTTCTGGTGCCTGTTACCTGATTCTGTCAACACCTCATGATCACACAGACTGGTGTGCTTCTTCTATGTGGGCTCGTTGCTTCTCTGCTCAATGGCCGCTTGTTTAACTTCAAGCCTTTAAGCCAGTGGGTCTCAACCTTCCTGATGCCGCAACCCTTTAATACTAGCATCTTATTAGAAAATATGATGGATTTGGATTGAAGTATGATTCAGAATAAGTAACTTTCTGTCTTTGAGGGAACACACTTCAAAGCAGGTGACCTTCGTTAAGAAAGAATGCCCCCCCCCC